CTAAATGCAAGGAAGTAGAGTTTTGCTTAAGTTGCATCCTCTTGCTTCCATACTCAAGTTTTAGTCATTAATTATGTTCCTTCTGTATTGAAAAATCCTATGGACCTTTCAAGTAGTCTAAATTTTTTGGATGCTGTGAAGACAACAGAAAAGCAAATTATCTTTTCAACTGCAAGCAGATATAATTTGAAATTATATCAATATTTCCAAGTTTGCTTCATTGCTGTTATTAAAAAAATAAATATAGTTCTTATAAGGCATTTCACATTAAGTGAGAAAACAAGTTATAAAGACTGAAGAGCAGTTACAACAGTAATATGTAGCTATTTGAAAAAAAACATTAAAAAGGAAATAATTATTGTAGGTCCTTTCTGAAGTGTAGACTCCCTTTTGTGGTTTTTATGGATTCTACTAAGTGTTGGCAGATGAACAGTGTAATAAAAAACATTACTGTCCCCAGCTGTCTGCTCTGCCACTCTTCCAAATGTCTAACCCACTACCCCTGGGCAGTCACAAAAGAGACCAGCTGCGTCTGTGAGGAAAAAAAAAAAAAGAAAAAGGCTTTTTAGCATAAACCCAGCTTTGTCACCTGTTTAGTCGAAGATGCTGGGCTGCACATTCACGTTGTTTAGGTGTGGGGACGCTGTCCCTTGTGAAGGACAGCAGGGGGTGGAGATTCTTACCCCCCCGCAGCAAGGTCTGTCATGCTGTCAGCAGCTCCCAGTTACAAACCAAGTTAGTCCCGACTGTCTCATTTAGTTCAATTGTTTGAAAGGTAATTATAGAAGAATTTGGATATGCCACTGCTTGTTCTGAAAACTTTGACTATGGAAAATTAGGCTTTACTAGGCTTTTTAAAAATAAATTGCACTTTTACATGCTGAAACTACCTTTGTAAGTACATTCTGCATACATAATAAGGCTAGTTTTCACCTCTGTTTCCAAATGTGCGTAAATTTATTTCTAATGAATTGTAAGAAAAAAATGAATAGCATTAAAAAATATATTTAGCTAATTTTGCAGACAAAAACCAGCATAAAAATGTCTAAGTGTTATCAAATGTTTTCAATTTACGCTTGGCACAATTATTTCCATGCTTGAATTAGGAACTGAACAGATGCCAAACCAAGGAAGTAAGCACATGGAAAGGAAACTGTTGAAACTATAAAGAGATTAAATAACATTTCTGAAAATTGTATTTCTATTTGGAGACCCGAGCAAGGTTCCAGAGCATCACTTTGGTGGGCAACTACGAGCATAAAGCCAAAACAATGTAACTCAGTCTGTGTACAGCACTTACACATAACTTTTAAATTATAGGAGACATCTGAAATTTGCCAACATTTAGGTGAGCATATACACTAACTTGTTTAGCTTCCTTAGTTAATGAAACAAGATAGGTACTTAAACAAAATATTTGAGTAATAACCAATTATATCAGCATTTCATAATTATTCTAATTAAAATGACAACACATTTGTAATAAGCAGGCCAATCCTTTGGTAAGTTTACCCTTCATGCGTGGTAAACATTCTACCGATATGTGCCTGACATTTGTACCCTCATGGTTTTACCTCTTTTGGGTTTTCATGGTCTAGAAAATCTTCACAGATTTCCCTAAGTGCATATAAAATTATACAGAAAAGCACATTGATATAATTTCCATAAGCAGTTTAAAGTCTTCTATTAAAACAGATAAACTACTCTGGTCTCTGATGGATTCCATACTGTGCTGCAATCACTCCAACCAAGGGCTGATCCCCACAAAAGCTCTCTGAGTTCATAAACCTCTGTGCAGTCACTGTGGGGGACTGGAGTTGTGACATGAGATGCTACTGTATTTCTCCGTAATAATTTGGTCTTGGGGGCAATTCTTTTGATGATGTTTCTCAAGATTGCATCATTTTATTATACACATATATATTCTGCAGTTTCCAATTAATATCAGAGTAAATTTGTGATTCTAACCTATATTGTATGCAATACTTGTATTTACCCTCTTTTTTTCAAAGATGATTTTTATTCCGAAGCATTTTTGGTGTTTCTTATTTTGCCTGTGTCTTGCTTACAAGTGTCTATCTGTGGTGTATGCGTCAGGATCCAGAGGTTTAATAAAAGTCAAAAGAAGTATAAAGGAAGACACACTGAAACTTGGTTTAAATACTTTGGAGTGTGTGCTCACCATAGTTACAGTGTAGCACTAATGTATGTGTGTGATTGGTGACAAAACAAGTGACAGGGACACCACCTATTCCTCCAGCGTGCCTGCCAGGCTGGCTGGCACGTAGCAGCTGGACTGTGGGATCGGAAACGCAGAGCTGGCTTCTGGATTTCAAGCGCCCTATAATTTTCCTTGCTGACAAGTGGGTATGAGATAGCAGCAGAAAACCTCCAAACATTAGTCACACTGCTTCCCAACAAGCAACAATTACACCTAATAGGTACTCTGTCATCTTGCTCCAGTTGAATTTTCTCAAGAACTCCCTAATAAAAACTTGGCCTATGCTTACAAGCACGATATACTACTTCAAAGAAACAACAGCTTGGCTGAAGTTTAGTAGCATATTGTCAGTTGTCTGTTAAAGTTTGCTGCACGTTTATTAGTTTAGATGTCAGTTTTTACATCTAGTTTTGGGCTATGACTTCCCCTCCTACCAGTTTTACCTTCATACATATTCTCACATTAATATGTTACATTATGAGTCAATGCATTTTTTTTTTTTACATCCAGCATGTTCAACTAGAAGTTCAGAAATATAAAGATTTCTTAATTATTAACATTAATGTAAATGCACATTTTATATTCAGCTATCTATATACCTATCTATCTAGCCTAATTAGCCTAATAAACCTTGCTAAGCTACCATGTGGAGAAAAGTGATATTGTACTCCTAGGTGACTTTGGCATTTCACAAAGGTTGTGGTCAAGCTTCTTGGACCAAAAGCATACCCTAGCATTTACTCTAGTTAAAGATCAAAGCCTTTGGGAAATGCCATTCTGCTTTTCAAAGCTCTCAAAAGTGAGAGTGTGAAAATACACTCGTGGTTTATCTGAAGTTTATTGAATTAACTTAATATATTGTTAATTTGGTATCAATACCAGCATAGAAGTAAGATGAACTAGGTTGTAAAGCCTGCGAGGTTGAGACAGTGCCATGATATGCCTAAAATTTCTCATTCTAGAGGTGTTGAAATGCATAGTTTTTTCTCAGCTACTGATACAAGTAATAAACTTCTGAAGAAGATGAAGATGACCTTCATACTCATAGGTCTATTCCAGTTATATCAGCCTACATGTATACAAGTAGATCTGTACCTGGATTATTTCAGTCTGGGATTGGATGTTGGTTGCCTACTGCTCACATATGTGCTGTGAACTGTTCTTCCTGTGCTTTGGTGCAGATGCCATTTCCACCATCGTGTCTAGAAACACAGTTTGAGGATATACTCTCACAGTAGTGAAACTTGAATCATCAGAGGAAATATCCTTTAAGCAGACTTGTCTAGATACAGAAAATTTATTCTTCGCTGCTGTTGAGATGAACACTGAACTGAATTCAGCCCGGTTTGCAATTTGCAAAAAATGAAACAAAGGAGGAGATAGCCAGAGTGCTAGGAGCAGGCTTACTCCGAGGCCGATCAGTTGCAGTTCAAATGAAAATAGTGTGTGAAGCAAAAAAACCCAATCTCAAAACCTTGTTTGTCTACCAATACATTGTATACAAAACTTCACAGAGCAATTTAATCTGGCAGCAGTCTGCCAGGTAAAGTTTCATGTGGTAACTACTCTGTTCTTTCCACTGTAACGAGGAGACTTGCAGGTATGACTGACTGGAGGAGACCAGCAATGCAAATGCTCCAGGAAACAAGGGCTCACCTTCTGTTTATTTCTGTAACTGCTTCCCGCTTACACTAGGTCTTGGGAGAATTTCAGTCTGCACCTGAACAGTGACTATGGCAGCTGAAGATGCCAAAGGCGTGGCTGGGGGGGACTCCTGTTGGTGACAATAAACTACACTTTATGGGTCATGCTGCCTTTTGCTTTGGAGGAAGCAGCAGTGCAATCTCTTTACTGAAGCACAGGGGTCTAGTGTCAGTCGTCTTGCTGACGAGAGTGACATCCACCTATTCCGGCGGGGCAGCACCTCACAGAGCGGCAAACCTTTGCAGCATTTGCCTTCCTCCCATCAGGCCCACAGGAGCTTCCAGGCCTTAAGCTGACCTCCTCCGATGATTTGGGAGAGTGCGGAAAACTCGAGTTCGGCCAGAAACACCGCTGTGACCTCAGCCTTGTACACAAAGCATCGATCTGAAGAAACCCCCGCAGCTCCGGGCCGGCAGGCTGATGCCAAGTGCTGTGGCAGTCTCTGTTGAGGAGACTGGCTACATCACCTCACAGGCTACTGCCAGTGTAACCTCCTGGGAAAGGCGCAACTCCAGGATTTCCTTATTTCTAAACAAATGCCTTTCTCAGGCAACAGCCCGCGGGGCTGCAGGGGTCCCCTCAGCCGTCCCCGCAGTGAGCAGTGCCGAACAGCAGCGGGAAAACCCCAAAACCTAAAGAATTACAGATCAGCTCCCAGCTCGCTAGCGCCTCCAGGACCCGCCGTAAGGCTCCACAGCCCGACCACCCGGATCCCGAAGCACCGTCTCCCCGGGACTCGGCCCCTCAAGCCCGGCCCCGCCCGCCATCGCTCGGGGCGGCCGCCGCCTGCCCTGCCCCCGCCTGGCGGGGCGCTCCCGGCGCTCCCCGCCACACCCGCCGGGGCTGGGGCCGCAGCCCGGCCCCTCATCTACCCGAGCGCCCCGTCCGCGCGCAGCACCTCCCGCCCTCCGACTGCGCACTCAGCCGAGCCCGCCGCCCCCAATCCCTTGAGAACCCGCCCCCACTCCCGCCCGCCGATTGGTCGATCTCGCTGTCTCTCCTGCCCCTCCCCTGCCCATTGGGCGAGGCGGGGCGCCCCCACCTCCCCCCCCCCCCCCCCCCCCCCCCTCCGGTTCTGTCGGTTGAGGCGAGCCGAGAGTAAATAGAAGCAGGAGCCCAAAATGGCGGAGTCGCCGAGTCCTGTTCGTGGCGCGGCGTCAGTCGAGCAGGAGCCGTTCGGCGGCAGGCCGGCCCCGGACGCGAAGGTCTCCCGTGGGTCCCAGCCAGCCGCCAAGAAGATGAAGGGAGCCGATGAGAGGAGTCTGAAGGGCACTAAGCGCGTCAACGGTGAAGGGGGCGGTGGTGGTGGCGGCAACGGCGGGAGCGGCAAGCAGTCGCTGCCGGCGGTCGTGCCGAGCTACAGCAGCCCCGCAGCGTGGGGCTTCCCCGCGCTTCCTTCTGGCCCCTCCGGGAGCGCGGGGGGCTTCGTTTTCCCGGCTCAACTGCCCCGGAAGCTGCTGTCGCCCGCCGTTTTGCTGCCGTCGTCCGCCTCCCCCTCGTCGTCTTACCAGCAGCACCAGCACCGCCACCACCGGCACCGCCTGGCTCTGGCCGCCGAGGCGGGAGGCTGCGGTGGCGGTGGGGCGGCCGGCGCTGGGGGCGGGAGCGCCAAGCCGAAGAGGCCCAAGGAAAAGCGGGACAAGGAGAGGAGGAAGCACGGGGCCCTGCCCATGGTCGCGGCGGTGGGAGATGGCGGCGGGGGCCTGAGCGCGGCGGGGCGGGAGGAGAACGGAGAGGTGAAGCTGCTGCTGCCGAAAGGTGAGGGGCGGGCGCTGTGGCTGTGCGCGGCTGCCCGCAGCCTGAGGGGCGGGCAGGGAGAGCTTGGGAGGCCGGGCGGTGGAGGCTGGAGGAGATCTGGAAGGGTCGGCAAGCCCGGGCCGGGCAGGGTGGGTGTGCTGCTGTACGTGAAGGTGCCCGGAGCCGCTGTAGCTGCCGTGAGGGAGCAGGAAATGGTTGTGATGCTCGGGTCGAGCCGTTAGAATGGCTGCCTGCCCCCGCCCTGCCTCAGCGCGCTGGCCCCGGGACCGGGCCGCTTCGCGGGGGTTGCCCTGCCTGGCCCCCTCCCCTCTGCAGAGCCGGGGCAGCTGCGCTGGGGCTCTGCCTGCTAGACCCTGGAAGGAGACCGCCGGCGTTGTGTAAGTTTGTGGAGAAGGCAGCGGCGGCTTAGTCTGCCGTCAATCCTGTCAAAAAAGGGGGTGTGGAATTAGCGATGGCGTCAGCTAGAAACTGCCAGAGGCCTTAGGTTTTCTTACCTATTAGGGAAATAAGGGTGCCTAGTAATTTACCAGAGATCTGCGAACAAAACTGAATTTCTGACATCGTTGTGGAGGAGAAAAAATGGTGAAAACCACGTTAGAACCACCCCCAAATTTAAAAATTAAATCTGAATGATCTAATTTATTAGGCTTTTAATTTTTACAGGCTAAGTCATAGAGTACTAGAGCACGCAGTTAAAATTTAGATACTTTGAAATTTAATGTAGTCGCCGCTTCAGGTTTGCTTGATTTCCTGAAGATCACTGGGCTAAAATCTTCCAAGAAATGCTCGAGGCCTTCAGGAGAAGGGGAGGAGTGCTGAGTTAGTTTATTAATGGGGCTGGACAAAAATGGCCATACCAGGTAAGGCAGGATATTAGGCTAGATTGTTGCTGACTGTGATCAATGGTAGATGCTTAGGAATTAAAAGACAATACATGAATATATGCAGACAATATAAGAATATATGCTTTTATTTCCACTGTACGCTTTCCCAGGCTCTAGTGACCTTAAATGAGATGTTGATGCTTTTGCGTCTATATTGAAATACAAAGAACTTGAAACATTCACTCCATGACCTAGTTTAAGCAAGTTTCATTTCTTTCAAAGGAAATATAAATTATAGCTGTTATATAGTCTTAAGTTACTTTGCTTATGGTCTATACCTGTACTTACAGGATGAGCCAACCTTGTAGAGAACAGCTATTAATGACAGTATCCCTTTTTGTCGATTGATTATGTTGTCTGGCTGCCTTACTGCATTTTCCACTAATTCCCACTAGTATTTTAGTGTGATTCACTCACCTTTGAGGTTTTTTTTTTTTTTAAATACTACTTCTTTTTGGTCAGCATGTTGCACTTGTCATTTTGTTCTTGGGATCTTGACTGCTGGTGTACAAGTTAGCTTTAAGTATGCAATTTCATTGCTTTCAAGTATTTAATTTGGGGTTTTTTTCTTGGTCCTGACCAAAAGGTGGCTTAGGAAGACTCTTCAGAAATGATACTCAATCCACATTTGATATTGGTGAAGCGTTCTTGTCTTAAAGGATAGCCACAAAGAAACTTACTCAGTATCTTTCTAACTATCTATCTATAGAAATAATAACCAGATTCACTCAGATTTCATCATGTCCTACCAGTGTTAAACAATTGTGTGAATAAAACTCTGAGAATAATGTTACAATAACAGGATGAAATGCTTTTTTCCATATTGGTAAAAGAAATGATGGCACTGATGGTGTCAACGGAGTAATTGTTAACTGAACCCTCCTGGAAGCAGTGATTTGTCTTTAAAGAGGAGATTCTGTACTTTGTATCTGGAAAGGATATTTTCTCAGAACTTACATGCTGACAGGTGCGCGTACTTGGCTTTTTAGTTGCTGTTTGCTCAGAACAGATCTTGTTACCTTTCATTTATTTCTTGAAAACTGAAGTACAGGCAACAAATAACATCTTCCAAGACAAATGATGCCTGTTTGGCATCTGTGTCTCTAGCTTTCTGTTTAGAGGAAGTGGTTTCTATAGCTAAAATTTTGTGGCGTAGTTTCCTATATAAATGAAAAACTTTATATTCATTAAACTGTATATTTTTTTGTGGAGAAGGCTGTAGGAAAGTGAGGGATGCACTGCGTCTTCTGCTGAGAGCAGCCAGCCTTTTTAAAGTGGATCTGTATTTGATTGTAGATCAAAGAACAGGTTTGTGCTGTTAATCCTGTGAATAATTTACTTTTCAGAGAGGGAAGGAGAAATGCAGTTGTGATGCAGGGAGAAAAGAATGAGTGGGGGGGGTCATGCAGAATTCTAAGTACGGAAGAAAACTAAGAGTGATATATTAGGGTGTGAGGGTGCAATAGGCAGAATTTGTACATTAGGATTGCTGGGACTATGGCATAGATGAGAAGGAGATACTGTAGAGACTCTGGTTGCAGCAGTGAGTGAGTGAATTTGAGATACTGATGTGAAAGGAGGAGGAGATAGCATGCAAAAACTGTGTAAGAGGGAGGTGATTCTGATCTTGGTTTGGGGCATAAAGTGTATATATAGGTGCTGTAGAAAAGGCAAGAAGGGTTAGAGGAAGAGTAGAATAGAAGGAGAGTGAAAAATTTAGGCAACCTACAGATAAAACATCAGGGTGAATTTAGAGGATTTGTATAATAAAAAACCAGAGATGCTTGCACACATGGAATAGATGGAGGAAAGTGAGGATAAAATGTGCCCCTTTAGGTGTAATGAGATGAGTTCATAGAAGCTGTCATATGTACAGCTGGTAATACTTTCTAAAAATCAACCTAATGCAGACAAGTGCAGTTGTCTTTTCCTGGAGTCTGCAGTTAGATAACCTTTTTGCTTTTGGTGCTATGGAAAATGAGCAGCCACATGCAATTGACAGCATTGATTGTTCTTCTCTCCTTGCATTCAGAACTGATACACATATTAGTGTTGCACCTGCCAGAAATAAAATTGTGCAGATGAGGAGACTAGAGGTCTGAAGTCTCTGAAAGAGGCAAAATTAACAAAAGATAAGCGGGTAGAACAGGTGGTATTTCCTTGATGGTTTTGAGGCTCTGAAGATGGAAAAACTCCATCCTCCTCTTCACAGCCAAAGTGGAGATGCATTGCATGTGGGTACATGGGATGGAGTAGAATTCCCCATTGAGCTTTGTACTGATAAGCGTGCTAGCATCTATGAATTGGGAGGAGTCATGTTTCTAATCAGTGAGCTGTGTGCATACTCTGCTACGTAGAGCAGTTAGGATGCTAGGAGAAAAAGCTTTACCCTGGTGAGGGAGGGCCTGCACAGGCTGTAGTACTGGAGAAAATGAGGAATCAAGTGAAAGGGTTCGGGGGAAGAATGGCAAAATTTGTCTCGTGGGATTGCTGGGACTGTGGTGTAGACAAGATAATACAGGGAATGATGTAGAGTGAATGAACGCAAGATCCAGATGTGGAAAACTGTCATCGTAGGACTTTCATTAGTACCAATAATGTTTTCCTATTTCTAGTTTAATTACTGTGATGATAAGAGATATTGATATTGAGGAGGAAATTGTGAGGTGTTTTTTTTTTTTTTTTCACTTACCATTCAAAAAAAGCTGATTATAGGACCTGATTCTTGTCCTTTGCTTGCAATAGTGATTACTAGGTAAGAGAGACTAGCTTTGAGGTACCTTTATTTACTAAGTGATAGGACGATATTAAGGTTGGTTATAGCCAAGATGGATGATGTATTTAAAGCTCTTTGAAATTCTTACATTTTCTTCCTTGAATGAGTGTTTATTTACAGATTTCTCTGGTCTTTTAATTCATTGGAAAGACCTTTAACTTAGAGATATAACCAGGCCTTGCACTTGTTTCAATTAAGTGAATGGAGTCGAGTGGACCCTTCGGAGATGATGATCCTGCATGCAGAGAACCTGAAAGAACATTTTGCCTCATGCATGATTTATCTTGCAGATATGAGGATTAGGCTGTTTAAAAGAAGCTTAAATTTCGCTTGTCAAGTACATTCTGATAGTGGAATTAAAAGTTGTGTAACTATTTTCGTTTTAAAACATGGTGTGAGCCTGACGGAAGTGATTGCTGTTCCAGTACATGACTGTACTGATTCAGTTAGTCATTTAGCTGATACTCTGCTCTAGCAGTTCATAGTTGAAACTGTTTTCTTAACGGTGCAAAGCTCAGCTCAGCCACTCCCCACTTCATCAGATGATGCCTGCCCAATGTTTTATGTTTTGAGAATAGACTTGCTGTAAGGTGTGATCCAGATGCATGAGACAGCTTTTCTGTTTATCTTGCTATTTCTGTGTGGAATTTCCCTTTCCCTCCATTTTTTGTCTTCAGTGATGTATTTGCTGATAAGATTACCTTAGTGTGCAAGCAATTAAAAAATGAGACTGGTATTTTAAACTTGCAGATGGGGATTCCCCGTATGAGCAAGAGAGCTGAACATGGTACTGTAGCTCTTGTTTTTACTTAGTTTTTTTGCATCTGGTGGGATGCTCATTTCATAGTCTTGATTTACTGAAATAGATTGAGAAAGTTTTGGATCATATTCTTTTCCCCTTTTTTACAGCTGGGACCATGCATCTTGCTAGTTAGGCTGTCTTTTTTCTTCTGCTAAACATTTCCTTCTGTTTACTTCTATTTCCTTTGCCCTGTTTTTTTTTTTTTTTTTTTTTTTTAACTGTGTGACTTAACTGACTTCTCCTTCCCCCCTGCCAGGTCCTTAAGTTCAGCAGTCATTTTCATGCTTGTGAGGCCTCTTGATCACTCTGGAGAATTCTTTGGTATATTTCTGTTTAGATACCCCACTGTCATCACGATGTGTAAAAAGTGTTGAGGGTTTTAAGTGTGGTATACAAGAGGAAGAGAGACTTCTCTAATTTGGATGTTCAAGACTTATATGCAGTTTAGTTTTGAGAGCTGATGGTGACATTAATGTAAGCATCCAATGTTGAGATTAATTTGGAGCAGTGTATCTTTCTTGTGAGGGACTCTGTCCCC